TATATATAAATATATATTTCATTTATTGTGAACCACCTTGTATATTTGTATATATGTGTAATATATGAATGGAATATAATTTTGAAAATTCCCTTTTAATCCTATTGAAATTGAATTTCTGCCTTGATGAATGTGTTTGCTATTACATATACGTACATGTATATAATTCTGAAATCTATTTTAGGGGTATATAAAATATAAATCCAATAGCATGTCTCGCTTGCCATTAGATACTCGTAGCTTTTATAACCGTTGACATAGCTACTGATGTCATTCATGATGTTTTTCCACTAATGTGCATTTAAGTGGTTACTGGAAAACCATTTTAATATACCCATATAGAGTACAGGGACGTACAACATAAATATGTGGACACATATAAAACACTAGTGAGAGATGCGTACTTATGCATTAATTATTTATTACATATATCCCATTATCTTTTGTACTACTCTTAATTATGACTTACGATCACCGTACTTAACATTAGTTTTAACCCTGTTCATTGTATCTTTACAGAAAAAGGTATAGTGTACTCAAGCGTTAATTATTATGTAAGGGTATAATATTTTGTCATTGTTTTTAAAAACGATCCCTCTTGCTTGTTTTTCCAATCATTTTTCGAAATACATTTAAGTTGAAATATTTGAATTGTTTCTAATTTAAGCAAAAAACCTCCAAAAGGCATATATCTTGAGGACGTGACGATGAACATTTACAATCATTCGTCCTTTTCTTTGTTTGAACCAGAGTCGTATGTTTGCATCTTCTTCCTATTTTCTTTGTGGTTTGAAAACATTCTCCGTTTATTTCCTCAATCAGGAATAATTCCATAACCAAGCTATTAACCGTTAAATCTTATTCTATTAAAATTATCAAACTGAATTGTAGTAAAGTCAATGAAAATATTTCAAATATACTTTTTTAACCAATGACTTCATACACAAAATAAGGTGATAATAAATTAAAAAAATATTTTAAGGAATAAGACATATGACAGAGTACATAGGCATGTAGAGTTATTAAAGAAGAATCACCCCATAAACATAAATTACAGGTGCACATCGTTCACAAAAATCCTTCGGATTGAAAACAAATTTGCTTTTAGCTAATTTCAGCAATTCCTGCTTCCTTAAAGTGGGAGAAGGCACACGGAGAAAACTAAATTTTCATGACAACGCAAAAATTACAATTTTCGATTGTAAATTACTGAAATAGTAGAATTTATTAGATAACGTGTAATAATCTCAATTTTTAAAAATTATTTCAAGTTTCTTAATTATTAGACCTAGATTAGATTACTCTTCGCAAATAGTTAAGGATGTGGGTTGTTCTAGTTTTAGGGAAATGCGAAGTTTAGCTCAGGATAGGAAAGAGTGGAGGTACGTGTCCAACCAGTCTTAGGACTATGATGATGAAACTGATTTTTGCTGGGATTTTATTTTTATAATTTTTATTTTTATTTTCGCTTACGAAGCAACGGGATAGTGGAATAAATTGTAAATATCGCTTTAATATTTAAATTAAATTTTCCTTTTTCGTTTTCTTCGTGCAATACTTTTCTTGACCTTCTACCTAATCCTTAGCTAACTTTCATTTGATGATAGATAAGCTATTTAGTTCTATTTTTTTCTTATCATCACACACACGATGTTTAGAAATCTATATGGTCGATATACTTAAAAGAATAAACCAGATATTTTTTTTAGAATAACTAATTTGTAATTATTAAACGAGTATTACCTACCAAATAGCTTCTCTCTGAATCGTGGGAAATTAACGAGATATCAACCTTTTTGTGCTTCTCAGAAATAATTTTATAGTTTCTGAGAATTTCAACTCAAAGTGCCGAATATTTAGCTGAAAATTAAGTTAATATTCCAAGAATGTCTCTTTTTTTATTTTCAACACGTACCTACATAGTGTGGAATTAGTCGTAGTGGACAATAAAGACAATTTGAAGTTTTATAAAAGTCTGCTCTTTTGCTGCATTAAATTACTACTTGTTATTTCCAATTATATTGCAGATTACGACCTGTGCCAATAAGAATAAATAGTATTTTCATATATATCCTGTTTCATTTGGTCAATACACACA